ACGTCATTCACGTAATGAAGGGTTCCGTTTGTGAGTCAGCTATGGAAGACCCAGGTTCTTTCATTCTTATAAAGACGCCCTAAATCTGGCGCTGGCTCCTGCTGTGTGATCGCCGCGATGGGGAAGGAAGTAGAAATGACCTTGCTAAATAAGCCGTAGGGCCGGGAGAGGAACGAGGAGGTAAAGAAAGCTGCGTGTTTGTGAAAGGAGAGCCGAATGGGATGCGTGGCTAACTCGCAGCCTTTTCATACGACTACAAACGTTTCCTAGGCATGCACTATTCACAAGGACTGTGTACGGTGCTGCAGAAACAATACACATAGTTGCTGTCCCAAGGAGACCGCAGTGGATCTGGCAGATCTTTGAACAGTGCCTACGAGGTCATCAACTCAAATGGACTCACCCCAACTCAAGACCCATACAATTCAAACACCAGGGGGCTATCCATCCTTCTGTTACCCATGCAATGTCCCCCAGTATCTCTCAGTATCTCTGAATGGCCCTAGTCACTAAATGTGGTCCAAAATTATTACCAAAATAAATGAGAAAAAATCCAATGTAAAAAATAAAGCATTCCTGATATAAAAGATAGCACAATCGAGGTGCCAGAGACAGAAGGCAAAATCAATGCAATTCAAGATGCATGAAGACAGAGGTCACCTGTCTGATTCTGCTTCTGTGGTACCTGGCATGGACCCATGACGTGATGGGTGCTCATGAAATATTATTAATTGAGTGATTAAATCTAGATTCTGAACAGTTGGCTGGCTGTCAGATCCACCTCCTACACCGAATAACTAAACCATGGCAAACCTGTTTCCAGTCAGGGGCCCAGCACAGCAGCTTCCACGGCTTGGACTGGCCATGTCTGCCTTTATCTGGCTCTGGATTCTTTTCCTAGCTCTTCCTTGGCTTTCTTTCAGTTGGGCAGTGACCTCTGGGTCTGCCGAGCTGTGGAGAGAGCTGTTGCCCAGCATTGGCTTAACAACCGTCAATCATCACCTCTGACCTTGCTCGTCTGGAGACCCACTTTGTTTCTTGGATTTGCATGGCAGTTTGCAGAGATTTTCTACTTCATGGCTCATTGTTCTGCTCACTGATTTCCTGACCCTCACAGCCCATGAGAATAGCCATGGTAGGTGCTCAGCCTGGGGTTTTTAAAATGTTTTTTGAGCTTGGTACTTGGACATCAACGGACTTTAATCCTCCATCCATAAAGTGACAGTTCATACCTTAAAGGTGTCTTAGTCTATTTTCTGTTGCTATCACAAAATACCTGAGGCCTGGTAATTTATAATGAATGGAATTTTTTGTTGCTTTTATTTTGTTTTGTTTTTTCTCCTGCTCTGGAGACTGAGAAGTTTAAGAGCATGACTTTGGCATTTGGTGAGGACCTTCCTGGGCTGTTACAGCACAACAGAAGGTCCTGCGTGGTAAGAGAGCAAGCCTGCCAGCTCACTTTCCCGTCCCCTCACAAAGACATCAGCTAGCCTGCCTGGAGGACCCTGCGTCAGGCCTCATCCAGTACTGAGTACTACCCGAGGGCCTTACCTAGGGGATTAAGTCTCCTGCACATGAACTGGGAGGCACAGTCAAACCGTGAAAAAAGAATCATGCAAATTGATTCTTTAAAAATTATTTGATTATTTTATGTGTATGAGTGTTTTGCCTGCATGTATGTCCATATCTGGTGCCTACACAAGCCAGAAAAGGACATCAGATTCGCTGGGACTCGAACTCAGGTCCTCTGCAAGAGCAGACAGTGCTCAGAACCACTGAGCCATCTTTCTAGGCTGGCAAACTTGTTCTTGAAGAAGGAACTATACAAACCACAAATGGCATTAGTGGTGCCAGGGTGTGGCTGTGGCCTAATGTTGAAGGGCAAGCAGGTGAGAGTCATCCCCCCCTTAAAACAACAATAACAAACAACAAGGTCACTCGGACACACAAAAAAGTCACTGACAAAGTTAGAGAACCTTTGTGAACCCTGCAGACAGGTAGCGTCCCCAAGGACTGGAGATTGCTCAGTCTTCTCAAATAAGGAACATTCCAGAAATGAGTACATCCAGTACTTCCCCTTAAACAATACCCCCTGAGCAAAGTCCCTTTCACTGAGCTGTAGGCTCAAGTTCTGCAAAGTTTAGTCAGTTTGCGTAAGCGGTTCTGAAAAGTGCGCTTGCTACCCTTGGTTGCAAACTCTGAAAAACCCGCTTGCTTGTAAAAGTGCGGTGATAAATTAGTGTGCTGTCCACTCTCTTGGCACAAAAAAGTGCGGTGATAAATTAGTGTGCTGTCCACTCTCTTGGCACAATTAGCAACGCCTTCAGGTACGGGAGTTAGAGAAGCAGGGAGTGATCCACGGGTTTCTGCAGCGAGTTCAGGATTTGCTGAACTCCGCCTGAGGCACTCACCTTGCCCGCAGCGTCTGGTCTGCTAGGATCTATCTGCCCTCAGCTGGGTGCGGTGTGCACTGGGTCTCCTCTGAGCTAAGACCACCAGCAGCAGGAGATCATTGTCACCCACCCAAAGGTCCCGAGATTCCCATTCAGTACTTCAGTCATCCCCAAAACAAACCGAGCAGTCTTTTGATCCGTGTGTGCCATGTTGAGACTAGAACTCGGGCTCTGCCACTCAGCCACTGCTTTCTGCCTCTAGCGGACAGTTAGACTGGAGAGTTCTCAGGAAGAATCACCCAAAGAAACACAAGCAGGGCCATGCTTATGCCCCCCCCCCTTAAGGACACAGAAATTTCAACTGTATCTCAGTCATAGCTTGGGTTGATTTATGAGAGGTTGCATTGGGTTCCATGGCGAAAAGCAACGGTCATTGTGTAACTGGACCCTCACAGCCCTGCCTGGAGGTTGTAAGATGAGGAGGAAGGGACTCTAGGCACAAGGAACAGGGAGCAGAGAAAGTCCTGAGTTAGAGAGATCCTGAGTGAAGGTGTGTTGTTGACAGCCATGTCACAGACTTCAGACTTAGACCCATGGGAAAATGGTAAAGCCCCGCCCCCCCCAGCTTCCCCCACCAGGATGCGGCTCTGAGGCATGGCAAAGCCTTCCTCTGGTCCACGTGTGTACAGAAAATAGATTAACACTACACATTACCCCCCTGGATATTTATGGCCTGAAGCCCTGCAGAGACTACTCCTACCCAGATTGACTAAACCCGCCTTCAACTTTAAACCATAAACCTGCCTCCTTGTTTATCTGTATGCGATGACCCACCCCCTGTTCAGCGGTATGCAATAACCCCGCCTCTCTGCTCTTCTCCGTGTAATAAACACTCTGAGCTTCCAGGGTGCTGCGACTTCCCCATCAGAGAGCCCAGTTTACCCCAAGCCAGCTTTTCTGTGCCTCTCTGTGTTTGTCTTTTCTTCCTTCTCTCGCTGGCCCCACCCCAGTCAGATCTGTCCTTGGAGCCACGCTAAACACTGCCACAAGGCCTTTTGCCCCGTGCTCCTCATCTCCCTGTCAGAATTGCTATCCAAATAGACTGTTTAGTTTTAAAATAATCTTCTCCCCTCACCACCACCACCCGTAGGCCCGACACGATGACTTTCCCAGCACACAGTGAAGGGCCTGTCAGTCACTGGGAGTTCAGAGACCGGGAGTTAGGGCGGCTCTGGGTTCAGGATGTACTGTATTCCAGGGAGGAAGAGTTTGTACAGTGGTCTGGGTATGACCTGTCCCTTTATGGTTCCTTTATGCTCTAAAAAGTCAAGGCAGAGGCGGGGTCCTCAAAACTGTACTCTCTTGTATACAAGGTGAAGCCAGGGTCCTGTGCATGCTGTGTGGGCCCCGTACCACTGATCTATATCTCCCTCTCTCTGTGTGTATGCACTTATTATGATTATGATTATGATTATTATTTGATGATCTCCCTGTGTAGCCCAGACTGGCCTTGAACTCTCAATCCTCTTGCTGTGTCCTGTACACAGGGCATTGTTGCCACTCCCAGCTTGCCATCTTACCCTTCTAAAGCAAAGACTCTGGTCACTCATTTGTGATGTTTTCCTGATTCCCCGAGCCCCTGAATACACTCCATCCTCTTTGCAGGCACACAAGACTTCCTTCAGAAATCTGATTGCGTGGAGTCTAATTTCTGCACAAACTCTGCTCTGTCCCATGTCCAGTTCAATCATCCACGAACCTTCACCCCATAATCGGGACTAGGGAAGTTTGCTCCCATTCCTTAGATTTCTCCTCCCTCCTCTTGTCTCCAGTCTGGCTGAGCACTGACCTGCTTTGTATCATCGTAATCTCGTCATTATTTTGGCCTAGAATGTCATAGAAATGGAATCACAGACTATGCAGCCAGGCTTCTTTTGCGTTGCCTCACATCCTTTGATATTTATACATACTGTGTCTAGTGAGAAGTTTCTTCTTTTTCTTTTTCGACTGGGTAGTATTCCATTGTGAGGCTATAATGCAATTCCCATTCTTTAGATTATGTCTTTGCTATTTGTCTAAGGCTGCTAAGGACGAGTCTGTGCACGTCTCTCTGTGAACATGTGTTTGAAATTCTCTGTTAATACCTACCACTAAGATTTCTGCATCATGGACAAATACACGTTTGACTTCATGAGACTCTTGCAAGTGGTTTCCCAGGGCGACTCTAGCGCTGCCCAGTCTCTGCAGCAAAGTTTGAACATTTCAGCTGTGCAACGTCCTCACTCACATTTGGTATTTCCATAGCTTTAATTTTAGCCACTCTGTGTGTTGTACAACATTTTTGGAATCCTTCAAAAAACATGTTGGCCTTTTCTCCAGATGGCCCTTGCCTTGGCTGTGTGGATTCATTCATGTTCCTTCCTCAAGGGACCAACCTTCTAATGGGAGGTCACTGCCCTTCTCAAGACCAAACTGGTACCTATCGTCCCTTTCTATCCTATCATTTTGTGTGGTCAATTCTCTTCCCTTCTCTCCACTCTCTCTTATTTCTCTGGCTTCTTTCAAATTCCAAGTTTGGTAGGGAGAGAGAGAAATATTCACCTCTTTGAAATTCTAACCCCAGCACAGAGATGGAATTGCTTATTGGCAGAATGAAGGCATGAATCTTTTTAAAATAACTTATTTATTTTTACTTTTATGTGCATTGGTGTACATATATATCTTGTGAGGGTGTCAGAGCTTGGAGCTACAGACAGTTGTGAGCTGCCATGTGGGTGCTAGGAATTGAACTCAGGTCCTCTAGGAGAACAGCTGGTTCTCTTAACCACTGAGCCATCTCTCCAGCCCCCAAAGGATGAATCTTTAGACTTGACTGTGGTTTCTAGTTGATGAGGCTTGCTGTCTTCTATAACATGCCTTCAGTGTTTCTTCAAGAAATGGGTGATGTACAGTGGCCCATATTGCTGCAGACAGACAGTGGCCCATATTGCTGCAGACAGACAGTGGCCCATATTGCTGCAGACAGACAGTGGCCCATATTGCTGCAGACAGACAGTGGCCCATATTGCTGCAGACAGACAGTGGCCCATATTGCTGCAGACAGACAGTGGCCCATATTGCTGCAGACAGTGGAATGGCAAAACCAAATGAGCCTTAGGCAGGACCGAAGCTCTGACTTTACCTCTCTGGGTCTTAAGGCCATTCATTCATTCATTCATTCATTCACTCATTCAAAAGCACTCCAAAGCCTTACCATATGCAGGGGCTCTGGCCAGAGACTCTGAGGTCACTGGCAGAGCCCAGGGCAGGGGTGATGTTGGTGTCTTAGGAAGCAGGAGTAATTTGAGGTAAAGAAGTGACAGGGCTTGAGTGATGGAGAGATGGGGGGTTGACAATCACAGACCTGAGGAGAGGTCAGGAGTGTGGCCTGGGGGCTCAACCCTGGCTGGAGCTCTCAGGAGATCTGGGACTCTCTAGCACAGCCTTTAGAGGACCGTGAGCAATGGGGGCCAGATGAGCCTCAGAGGCCTTCATCCAGCTTCCAGAACTTGAAGGTTGGGAAATTAAATAAAGAGGCTTATTTCTTACAGTTCAGAGGTTGGGAAGTCCAGGAGCATGGTGAGAGGGCCTAAAATGGGAAGGCCAAAGAGAGGGGCTCAACTTTTATAACAAACCCACTCTTATGCTAATGAATCCACACCCCCATGGGAGTGACATTAATTCATTCCTGAGGGTGGAGCCTTCATTATTCCAGGACTCTGCAATTGTATTTCTTACACAAGACACATTCAAGCCACAGCAGTGAAAGGAACTGAATTCTGCCTCTTGGAGTCCAGGGGTTGGGTCTGAGTTTTTACTTCTGTCTGTTTAACAAGATAGTAAAAGTGATGAGGTCAGTATTTTAGGAAAAGATTCTGATCAACAAATGGGGGTGAAGACAGGGAACCAGGGCAGCTCTGAAGCTGCCACAGTCCCCTGCACCAGCTGAGAAGGCTTTCCCTGCTCCTACACTCCCAACAAGCCCCCCAGCTTTAGCAGCTGACTGATTTCTGCTCGCTAAGAATGCATCCTTGGGGTGTTTGCCTATCAATACCTTGATTGTAACTCCTGATGTTCTATGTCTCTTTCCTCCTTGACTCCCATCAGGGGACTGAGCACAGCTGTTGAATAGCAAGTCCAGCTGTTTGCACCACACTAGTTGTCCAACAGGTTAGGAACATCAGCACAAGGCTGGGGAGTGGCTCGGTGGCTAAAACACTTGGCGGGCATGCATGACGATCAGAGTTCAGCCCCTCAGAACTCTGGGAAATGTGGAGTATGTTTGGCAGCCCATCTGCCATTTTTGCCTCCTAAGGGGGAAACGGGCGGCATCCCCAGAGCAAACTAACAAGACTAGCTATATCCAAGAGCTCTAGGTTTGACTGAGAGATCCTGCCTCAATGGATCAAGCAGAAAAGCAGTTGAGGGCGATTCCAGACATCAAGCTCGGACCGCCACATCCACGTGGACATATGTAAACATTCACCTACACAGGTTAGCCCTTACACATGCGGAATACGTATATCTACACCTCACACACATAACACACATGCACATGCGTGCCGCACACACACACATGAAAATTGAGGGGGGGGGAACAACCAGTGTCAATAAGTACAGTGCTTCAGGGGGTTCCTCGGGAGGGCTTAGTAGACATCTTAGAACAAGATAGCTCTGCCCATCCAAAGCTACCTTCGCCAAGAGGCTTATAGATTCCTCCAAAGAAGTGGCGGAAGCCCCTGGGACTGGGTTCCGAGACTGCATGGCATGAAGTCCTTGCAACTGAGAACACGAATGTTGGTCAATGCATTTTGGTTCACCCTCACAAGGTACACACTGCCTTCCTCCCCAGACCTGCCGTAGCCTCAGGGACTAATCTCCTTCACACAGTGCAAGAGGACACCTCAACCTCTGAGTCCTCTGCACAAAGCATCTGAGAAACCTTCACAAGGGCAAGGCTGCTGTTCGCTCCCACAGCAGGACATAGTAAGCACTGCTGGGGGCCAGGAAATGAAAACTCTCTTACCTTGGCGGTGGTCTCCATTGCTCTTTGATTATAAATTGTTAGAACAAACAGATGGCGTGAACTCAGACAACCTTGTAAGGAGCCGCCATTCACGCAGGGGTCTGCAAGCCCTCGCCAGAAATGTGCCCTTGCAGCCACCTGGATCTGGTTCTTCTCAGACTGGTCATCCTTGGCAAAGCTTTCCTGGCCCCCGTGGCCTCAGCCGCCGTGTGGTGTCTATTGGAAAGCCTTGCTATTCTCTTGACTTCCTTGCCCCGTGTCTTTCTCTCCTGTCTTCACCCTGAATGGAAAACAGCTGGCCAACTTCCTTCTTCCTTGAAGGTGGTTATTGAGCTCTGCCCGTTTCATTTCCTTCCACATGCACCGCGCTTTGTCACTTACTGGGCATCTGAGGTCCGTGTCAGTGGGAAAACTCATTACTGCCGCCAAGTCTGCTGCCTCAGCGCCTTCCTGGAGGCAGGTGGCCTCTGGGCTGTGGTTAAAAGAGAGAGAGAGAGAGAGAGAGAGAGAGAGAGAGAGAGAGAGAGAGAGAGAGAGAGGAAGGAGGGAAGGAGAGATTATATGAAAATGATTTATTTTATTTTTGAGCAAATCTGATTATTGTTCTGACAAGAAGTGACTGAGAAAGGACCCCGGCCGGTTGATTAAGTCACTCCGGGAAATTTAAACAGTATTTTCATGCATGGGAAGAGGGCTTTCCTCTTTGAAGCCTGGAGGAAGTTCCAGGTCTGGGGACTTAAGTCTGGGGCAAAGCAGGTGCAGAGAGCAACACTGACCGAGCTCCTGGGAGGAGCCCTGACCCAGCAGGGAAGCCTGACCGGTGAAGCAGGTGCCAGGGAACATGACAACCGCTAACCCAGGCAGTCAGAGGTCCAGGTGGGATCAGTGACAGTGTTGGGCCTGGAGAAAGTGTGGAACGAGGAAAGAACATTTCCAAACGTAATCTGTGAGTTTAAAAAAAATTAATTTCAATGTCTTTGGATTAACAAATAACACTTCCCTTAAACTCCGGGGCCCAAGTAAACCCCGGGGCCCAAGTTTAAGGCAGAAAGAATCGAGAATAAGGGTGAAAGGGGAAGAGAGGGCGAGGGGGGGGTGGACTACTGGACGCAGGCATCGATAGGGAAAGTAAAACAGAATTAGAGGGAGACGACACAGGTTTGAAAGACCTTCGAATACTGGGAAATGCCAGTTTGTATCAGGTATTTAAGCTGTTCAAACCCGCTGCCGCTGGGCAGTAAAGAAGGAGCCGTGTGCATTTCGGCTGCTTGATGGGCCTTTTCCTTCCAGCCTCCTTTGCAAGGTTCGCTTTTTAACATAAACATCCTGAGTAATCTTAACATGTAAAACACCACTCAGGGCCAGTGCAGTTACATTGGGGTTTTATTTTCCCTTGCAGGCAGGATTTCGCTCTCTGCTGGTATTGTACGTGCTTGCCAAGACCATAAAAGAGCCATCACGGGGAACAGTTTCCAGCGCTGGGAGCCCATCCAGCCCTGTCCCAGAGACTGGTGGGGAATAGGTGTGGGGAGAGCAGCTGAGTGAGGACAGCTTGAGCGGAGACGGGTGCTTTCGGCTTCCCCTGTTCCCAGGCTTCTCGGGGTTCCCAGGCTTCTCGGATGGCTGACAACACTTCCATTCACGGCAGCTACAGCTGGAAAGAGACACGTTTGTGGTGTGTATCTTCGAATCCGGTAGGAGCTGCTTTCTGCCAGCAGGGACACGCTGCTAAGAGTCGGAGCCCAAAACCCAACCTTGCAATTCGGAATGATCGGTATGGACGCTTGCTCCTTTTTACACAGTTATGCCAACCCAAGCCATTCTGCTTCCCTTCCACCTTTTAAAAATAGGAATTACGGGGATAGGGATGCAAGCAATTATTTATAGTAAACGGTGTCTTTGCCTCCTTACCTCGCTCCCCGTACACACTCTTCCCATGGCATTTGGAATTAGACCAACCCGTCCCGAGCTGACAGAGCAGTGAAGTCCTGTGACTTGGGCTGTGCGGTCAGGAGAGATAAGATAGGCAAGAAAGATCAAGATTCAGAAGTCCCACAAGATCATTCTGCTCACAAACGCTTTTGTTTAGTTCCTGGCCCCGTTCATAGGACAATAGACTTAGAGGATCTATGCAAATGTGTCCTTTTCCCATTACAGAATGTGACCTTTATGATTAGATTGAAATAGCAACGTCAATTCCTGGGTTAATAAGACTTGCCGGCCTAGAAGGGAGGGCTGCTGGTCTCCTAGCAAGTAGAAACAGGGAAGGAGGCATTGGAACCTGTCCCTGGGAGGTGTAGGATTTTTATGGGGTGCCAGGAAACCCTTTACTTTTGTCTGCCCATTTGCTCTAAATCAGGGAATTCACCTGTTCAAGAGAGCTATGATGAACTTTTTTTTTTTATTAAGAGTTTTGCATAGAGCTGGGTCTGATGGTGCATGCCTTTAATCCCAGTGGAAGAGGCAAATAGAGGCAGGTAGGTCTCTGAGTTCAAGGCTAGTCTGGTCTACCGTGAGTTTTGGGGGTACAGTCAGGGCTACACAGAGAAAACCTGTCTTAAACAAAAATAAAAAAAAGTTTCACATGAAAGTCAGAGCTTGTTAAAGGAACAACATAGGATATGGGAGTACCACGCAGGGCACAGATTAGTTTAAGCTAGAGGCCCGAGACATGCATGTTGATAAAAATCAGCATTGAACACAGTTACTAGTTACTGTTCACCGTCAAGGCCATCCTTGCTCATGAGAAAATGAATACCGACAAAATGTTCACGCGCGTGTGGGTACTGCAAGCCACCACCAGGAGGTCAAGGGCAGTGAGTTTCCCTGTGATTAATTCCTCTTTCCGTACTCATCACGGTTACTTATTTGACTGGTAATACAGCTTTGTGTTTCCAAAATGCCCGGAAATACAACTTGAGCAGTCAGTAGGGAAAGGAAGAGTCTAAGGGTTAAGGAAAGCTAGCACACACTGACGTGTCACCTGAAATCACTGGCGAGGAGTGGAGAGCAGTGTGGAGGAACGGTTTTCAGGGAGGCTGGAACCGTCAGGACTAAGACAATTAAAAGTGGACATACCCTTTAACGGGAGAAATGGGAGAGAGTTCTCGCTCCTGCAGCTAGGACAACACCCTAGAGATTTCCAACTAAAAGGAAAGGAAGGGAGAAAGAGAAGAAAGCGAAGAACTCCATGCATGGAGGTTCGTGCCTGTTAGGCCAACGGTTGTGAGGCTGGGCCGGAGGAGCACCGCAGATCTGAGGTCAGTCTGAGTGACTGCGTTAGCCACTGCTGCGAAAGCCTGAACAAGGCTCAGTGAGTGAAGTGCTAGCTTAGCGAGCCCGAGGACCAGGGTTCGAGCCCTGGAACTTACATGAAGTAAGCGTGGCAGAGCAACGCAGAAGCCCAGTATTCCTAGAGTGGGAGGCAAGGTGGGGACAGGAGGATCTCCCTGATGCTGAGGGCCATTTAGCATGGCTACACACAGCGCAGAAGCAACACGAGGCCCTGCCTTAAGGTGGGAGGAGATAACCATCTCCTGAAAATTGTGGCGTGGTCTGACCTCACACATCCTGCCACTCCTGTGCACGCACACCAAATAAATGCAAAATTTTAAAAGGCCAAAACCAAATTAATTATTTATTAAAAAAACTTAATCAAAATAAACCTGAAGACAAGGTTTGCAGCTGCTTCTTCTTGAAAGCTGCTTTAGTATTTGCAAATAGCCATTTTTAAACTCACTGAAACCAAACCTGCCCAAAGAAGTTAAGACATCATTTTATTAAAAAATACCATTCTGTTTGTAAGCAGCATTTGGCTGGGATTCCCATCCCAGGGTTAAAGTGGGAAAATGTTTAATTGCTTAAGAAGTAATCCTATTATTGCAGATTTCATGCATTGTGAGTTCCCCCTCCTAATTTGAGGAATTAGGAAAGGAAAGTGAGATTCTTCTGCTAAGTACATTTTTGAAAGGGCATGTGATGGTGCTGGGAGATGGCCGAGCAGAGCTTTTCAGAAGAGGATCATAGACTAGGAGGTGAACAGGAGAAACCCACCAGGCAGTCAAGAGTCAAGTGAGGTGGTGTCAGCCTTCAGTTCTGAGCGTGAAATCATTGTAAAAACATTCTAGATACTTCCATAAACTATAAACGACCATGTTGCTTCATTGAAGCCTCCAATATTTTTCATAGGAATCTGCGCACTGAGCAACTACCTCAGTCCGAAGCACTTAATAGTAAATTAGTACACTTAAGAGACTCGGTCAGGTGTTTAGGAATGGATGGGGGCAGAGGTTGGGAAGATGACTTGGTCAGCCTGATGACTACCGGCTGAACACGAAGACCCAAGTTTGGATACCCAGCATCCACAGAAAGGGCTGGCTTACATACAGTGGCCTGTGCCTGTAACCCAGTGCTACAGCAATGGTGACAGGGATCCCTGGAGCTCACAGGCCACACAGCTTCAGCCTCAGTAAGAGACTGTCTCAGAAACTAACAGTGGAGCATGATTGAAAAAAGACACCGGATGTTAACCTTTAGCCTCCACCAGACAGGTACCACTTGCAGTAGCAAGTGTACTCATACACACTAAGAAGTGTGTACAACACACACACACACAAACACACACACAAGCACGTGCGTGCAGAAATGTCAGCTACAAAAATGACACGTGGGTTAAAAGCAGGTGTTGGATGACAGAGAAATTACAAGTGCCTTTAAGGAGCACCTAGGCAGGCATGGAGGAATGTGCCTGGTTTGGAAGGCTGTGTGGACAGAATGAGGAAGAGGTTTTGCCATCACAGAAAAAAAAAAAAAGGCATTGCTGTTTTTTTCTTGTAGGAAGTCTCCTTCCCAAATGATTTCTATGTGGGAACTTCTGGTTAAGTTGATGAATATGTCTTAAAGACCCACTTAATTTAAAAAAAAAAAAACCTTCAAAGGCCTTAACGGCATAAACACCACACAAAGCAAGCCAGCATGATTTGTGTGACTCTTTGGTGAGCCACAGAGCCTTTTAGGACATGGCAGCGAACAGGCATTCCTCACTGCACAGGTCAGGAGAAGACTCCAGAGACTTGTTTCCGGATAACTTCCCCTTCTTGGTGTCCGAGTTGCTTTAATTTGTATCTGAACTCTTAGTTTTAGGTTATGAAACTTTCTCTTATCTAATTTGCACTTAAATTTTGATGAAGAGAATCTTTCAGTGGGGCCAGACAGTTGACCTTGGTTGATTGGCTTGATCTTTGTTTTGTTAAGTGGAATTCTCCACAGTGTGTACACTGGGTTCTGTGACCAGAACCCTTGGCAGGTGAGAAGGATTGGCTGATTTAAGCCATAAGCAAAACCCCTAAGTTTTGGAAATTCTGACACAGAATTTTCTCTTTGTGACTTTGACTCTACTCCTAATCCAACCAGACTGACACTTTCCCCCCTCATATGCTGTTTCTTCTTCTCTCTTTAAAAATACTTTCTTTATTTATCTCTTGGTGATACATCTAAAGATGACTTAGTCACAGCATCCAGGAAGCTGGAAATTCATCCAAGAATTCCCCCTCAGCCCTGAATCTCCCCAGGACAGGGCACGGTAGTCATGAGCTTTCCTGGATTCCTATCAAATGCAGCTTGTTTTAATCATTTGTTTTGTAGAGCCACTGAGGAAGACTCCAGCAGAGTCTGCAGGCATCCTAACTTCACAGAAAAGCCACTCCTGAGACCACTAATGATGAAGGGACTGCAGGAAGATGTCAGACAGATGAGGAACTTGGAGATAAGAGAAAGGTATGTAAGGTGGTGGTATGAACTCCTCAGGAAAGACTCTCGGTGATGAATAACTGCATACCCGAGGCTGGCAGTCTGTCACGGCAGTTGGAAGTTTCTATGTCGTCCGTCTTTGGGAAACATCCAATTGGAAGACAGATGTGGCTCCAACATCTGTCCTTGCTGCCCCACCTTCCTCCAGAGCTCCTCTTCCTCTGTCTCACCAGTTGTAAAATGTCAGAGCCTATTTATGTCTGAAAAGAGCCTCTCTTCTTCTGGAGCACAAACCACTTCTGCTTGGGGACTCACCTTGGCTCCTCTTGTGTCCCACCTGTCAGCAATTTGGAAGCCCCCAGATATTGACTCTGAACCGATATTTTATGGCAGATACAACGAATCTTACTCAGAGACACCCTGTGAGGATAGTCAACGCAGTGTGCATGTCTATAACGCTAGCACTGAGTTCATGGTGGGCCTGGGTTGCATAGCTCCATTCTAGTCTCAGCAACATGATGAGACTTTGTTTTCACAAAGTAAAGAAAGAACATATAAGGCAGAAAGAATGGACGAGAGGGGAGAACAATTTTCTGATGCTATAGTTTATAAGAAGGAACGCAAACTAAGAATATTGGTGGGTCTGTGAGAGCAGCTACAGAACCCCACGAATCCTCCAAGTCAGATGACGCTGTGAAGGTGGAGTCACTGAATCCTCTAATCGTTAGTAACGAGTTCTGGTGCAAACCCACAGTCCTGGACAGTTTGGGGGACGTGAGCACCTACCACGTGCTAATGCTTGGCACTCAACAATCTATTGTTTTTTCATCCCCAACAAAACCCTGCAAGCTACATACTGGTCCCTTTCTAGAATGTGAAAGTCCTGCTCTAAGACCACCCACAGGCACAGAGCTGGGATTTGAGCTCAGCTTTAAAAGAATCCAAGTATGTCCTCTTATGGTGGATAAAAGCACAAGAGCCCCGAGGCTTTCCACTTGGAAGGTAAAGCGTGCAAACAGACGAGAACAGGAGCCCCAGCCTTACGGCACACCACTGGAGTAAGCAGGCATGCTGGCCTGGAAGCTTCTTTGGCATGCTGACTTTCATGTTGTCACTGGCTCACACAAGGCTTAACACATAATAGAAACCCAATAAAAGTTTGCTAAATGAGGTTATGATGTATATTCTGCAAATCAAGTCCCGCGGTCTGCCTTTTTTATTTATCTAGAGGTCTCGTGTCTTGGAAGCGTGTACTGTGCTAGTTCTGGTTTTACAAGTGTCTGGGACACC